TATATATATATATATATATATATATATATGACATATATATGACTTTTTTATATGACATATATATTACTTTTTTGTCATATATATATATATGATATGTCATATATACATATATATGACTGTTCTTCATGCTGCTTAGTTTGAGGCTATTTTTTATTTTATTTTTTTCAGACAGTTTGTCTCTGCTTTGATGTGAAGTCTGTGTAGCAACCCTTTAAAAAGCACAAGCTCAAATGAAGTGCCAACCTACTTTTTTTGCTGAGTGTTGCTGAGTTTCTCATATTCACAGATTTGTCTTTATACTTACAGATGACCCTTGGAACAGCTGTGTGGATCTCAAATCACTGAGGAACAGGGTCAAAGGGAGAGTTTTGCTGTGTTGTATTTTGTGATGCCAGGTGAGGAAGTTAATAAATCCGAAGTTACTGACTGTGTGAAGAGCAAACTGCTAACACTGCGAACAGAAAATACTTTACTGAGCATCTCTGTCGAACACTTGAAATACTTCATAGATAGAATGTGTCCAAAAGCCTTTCTCGTCTAGAAGATTTTGGGCGATTTGGAAAAATCTATTGTCCCATTTTTACCACAGAACGTGCTTATTGTGTGGTCATTGTGTTAAGGTTTTAGCATGAGATGTTTACAGTGGACGTGCATGCAGTGACTGAGGAAAAACCCAATGAAAGACCACCAGACTGAAGAAAAACTCTCCTCACCTTTAACCGTACAGCAAAGTCACTGCTTTATCGTCTCCGACTGTGTCATAATACACTATTTTATTTTAGGTTGTATGCTCAAAGAATGAATTAGACACAGTTGTTTATCTTATATATCTCATTTATTTTAACAATTCTAACTAGATGTTAAAAATTTTATTTCGTTTTTATTTTCATATCATGTATGTATTTATTCAATGATGGATCTCCTTGGCCAAAGACATGTTGGTGCTTTTATAGAAAAGATTTCAGAACTGAATATCAATAATGCACCGTATTAAAGAATAATGTACAGTTAAACATTATAAATAGAGGACTCTTGAGTTTTAATGGATGTACGTATTATTTTGTGTGTTCTAAAGCGGTTGTTTTGTGTTTTTGACTGACAACATGCATGGGAAACTCTATCTGAACAGTCTTATTGTGTTACATGAGTAAACATGACTGCTGTGTGTTTTGCCCACGTCACATTAAAGAAATGTCAGATTACGTCTTTCAGTTTTACTTGGGATGTAAATATATTCTGCTGGGTTCATAATGCTCTACATTGCTTGAGTACATGCAACACTGGCAGTGTCTAAAAATGAAGATGTCATATTTGAAGCAGTATTGATGTTGAACTGTACAATCCATAACAGAAAGAGCCAAACAATCTATTGTAATTAAAATGAATGCTGATGTCAGAAAGCCACAATAATTCTTTTATGAAATAACAACAGTGGTTCGCGCTGCTGAGACTCTTTCTTAGTTCAGTGTTTCTGTTCTCAAAAATCCGTCAATAAAGCCCTACAGCAAGATGTTTGATACATGGAAAATAATGTGTTCGGTGTGTTCCTTCCACGCACGACTGAGGACAAAAGAAATGTTTTAATTTCGTTTTCTTTGCACATCCACATTTGTACACTTTCTATAAATTATATTGTTTAAGAGATATTTCATCCAAAATGAACACTGTCATTATCTACGCACCCTCATGTGATTCCAAACCAATATTCTGTTTTTTTTTTTTCATGGAAAACAACAGGAGAATCTTTACACAAACCAATCCAGTTCACAAACCATACCATCTGAATGATTCATTGACAGCTCACAATGCTTAATAAATAATTGTATTACTTCAGAAAACTTAGAATTTAGTGCACAAATCATATGAATTTCCTTTATGATTTTTTATTATGCTTTTCCTTTTTGGAGCTTGAAAGCTCAAGTTCCCATTCATTGCGATTGGACGGAAAAGAGTGACTTTTCATTATTTGGGTGAACTGTTCCTTTAACAATATCCCAGCTAACAAAAATATGTTCTAAGAACGGTTTGCCAATGTAAATATTAAATATTAAAACACTTAGTTCTTTCAAGAAAAGATGTGGAACATGTGTTACCCCATGTTTCAGTGATTTCACACAGGATTATTCAGTGATTATTCACTTCACAAAGACGAGACCGGACAAAGAACTGAACGAAATAGGGAGGATACACAGACTCAATGAGGTAATTCAACAAACGACAGGTTAACGTAATCATTAATCAAACACACTAGGGCCCCTAGTCACCCCCATTCCCTTAAATAGGGCACTATTAGAGGGGACATCAATTTGTAGTGTCTGAAACCATAGTGGACGTTATCAAGAGCAAACTATTGAAATAAAGTGTTACCGACTAGCATGCATTTTTCGTCTTCATGCACTCTATATACAGCCACCCATGACACTTGAACAATAGCCAAAGTTTTGAGAACATTGCCTTTTAGCTGGGTTTAAGTTACATCTTAAATATACATCTAAAGTATTGTTCTATTAAGACTAGAGAAAAAAAACACTTATAATAATTCATGCTAACACTTAGGAGTCCAAGTTCTCATGCATTTTGAATGGATTCCTATATTGCATTGTCACATGCAATGCACAAACCACTTAGATATAAATATTAATGTGCATTAAAGAGAATCATTCTGCCCTATTTACATAAGTGCTCAAATCATGTGTGACAGTATGTAGCCTAGGTGAAAAAACACCTAATGGACCTGTAAGATGGTGGATCTTGTCATCTTGTAGACTGCAAGTGCAACTATGATCTCTTTTTGTTGACGAGGAACCATTAGGCCATTGCCAGCTCAGTTTACTCAGTCTGAGCGCCTTAACACTAAACCCAGATGACAGACATGTGTGATAGATGTGAAGAAATGATGACATCTGATGAGAGAGCAATAGAAGACTGAACACAGACTGCTACTGAAAGGTTCTACAGAGAACATTCACCAAATTATCAGCTGCTCACAAATCAATCAGTCGTCAGTCAGAAATATGATAGGCTATATCAGGAATTATGACGATGACACATTTGCTGGCCTAAAGATTCGGGAGCAATGAGAAATTTAAGTTGTTTTTGTGCCAGAGAAGAATGAAATAACATTCATTTTGTATTTCCATTGTATTAAAGAGACTCCGAGAATGCGTGTTCTCAAAGCCACTTGTCCAGGCTACACAACAATTTTACTGTCAACACGACCAGAGGACCAACTGTATCACTTTAGAATCACCATAATCAGGAAGGAAAGAAACATCAGGCCATTTTAGTTTACATTGTTTTTAAATTACTTTATTAAAAAATCTCTAAAACGTTTACGGCACAGTTTAACAGTTTTAATCAGATTAAAATCTCCTTGATTAAAAAAAAATATCTATATCAGGCGAGTTTGGGTTGCCGATATTAGTTCTGTGACTGTGATTTTTGACAAACACTGCCATCTTGTGTCATTTGCATTTTCCTACAGCTAAAACTTTAACCCTCGGTTTCACAAACAAGGTTTACTGTAAAACTAGTCCCAGATTAAAATGCATGAGAAGAGAACTGAAAGCAACTTGTACTGATATATCTTAAAATAAAATTCAGTAATGTTTTTTTTTCCTAAGGCATGTTCATAAAAGCTACTTAAAGGAATAGTGACCCACAAATGCAATTTTTGTCATCATTTAGCTACTCACCCTCGTTCTGTTCCACACCTGAATGAGTTTCTTTCTGCTGTTGAACACAAAAGAAGATATTTTAAATAATGTTATTTCTGTAGGCCTAATATTAATATTTTAAAGATAGTATTTCTGTTGGTAATCAAACAGTTAGCCATTGACCATAGTATGTTTTTTTATAGAAGTCAATGGCTACCCTCAACTGGTTGATTACCAACAGAAATACTATCCCTTTAACTAAGGTTAATTTAATTAAGGCCTAATCCTCAATCTCAACCCTGTTTGTGAACAGGCCTAGGATACTTAGATAAACTAATCCTGGATTTCCACATTTAATAATTTTATTGATAACCCCACCAAAAACTGCTGAAACTTTTAACTGTTATTTATGTCCCCATAAACCAGCTAAAACCTATTATTATTATTATTATAATATCACAATCTAATTATAATATTGCAACACAGATTCGTACAGTATTTACAGTCCATGTGCTTTGCATTACAATGGTCTACATGCATTCAACTAATACAGATATGTGAAAAACAACCAAATTACCTCATTCCATCATTCCTGTAATCAGATAATATATATTTTAATCAATACACAGTAATGTATAAATAAATTACTGCTGTCAAATCGATTAATCACGATTCATCACATCTAACATAAACGTTTTCGTGTATCTGTGTATATATGAAGAGTTCAGATGCAAAGCCTCTTAGTGCCATTTGAAATTTTCTTCTAAAATGATCATTTTTATCAAGCTTGTATATTTAAGTTCAGTAATTTCACTTAAATGGCAATGAAGATTACCTATTAATTGCCATTTAAGTGAAATTACTAAACTTAAATATACAAGCTTGATAAAAATGACCATTCTAGAAGAAAATTTTAAATGGCATTTAGAGGCTTTTGCATCTGAACTCTTTATATATATATATATATATATATATATATACTGTATATATATATATATATATATATATATATATATATTATTATATAATCGATTTGAAAGCACTAAAATAAATACAATATATTACATTACAAATGACAGAATTCAATAAAGGACAACATTAATATTAAAACATAAGTTCAGTGTAAATGTTATGAAAATGGTAAGGTATTTATCGCATTGATACTTTATTTATCTATTTATTTGGTTCAAACTCTAATTTCTCTCTTCCATCACACACACCCTCTCGCCCCTGGAGGTCCGCCCACTTTAGCAAGACGCCGGAAGTTGTCATTCTAACCGCTTCCTACTTCCTGCGTCAAAACATTCCGGTGTGTCTATGCGGCTCTAACGCTTTTTTTCCGGATTTTATGAGTGATTATGGCTGCGAACTGCAGCACCGGTTCGGCTACGGAGCCTCCGGGACTAGAGACCCAGTGGCGGGAGATCGACAACCTGAACCAGCAGCAGCTCCGGGCCGGAGACAGCTGGTAAGAGAAACTTCAGCCTAGAAAACAAACAAACAAACATTCACAAAACAACAACAACACAGATAAAGCTCTAACATAACTCTATAAAACTGATAACATGTTTGGGTTTGTGTGGTTTGAGGGTTTTCAGGTTCAGTAGTAGCCTTGTCAGTATGATTGAGAGAGTTCAAAATGATTTAAAGATCAAATAAGCGAAACTAATATACAGGTGGGGTTTCACTTCAGGCCTGATAGATCTGTTTACCTGGTAAACAGCTTCCTGAGGATAATTAAATGTTGACATCTTGGTTGTCTGACCACATTCCCAACTCTATCTCCTTAAAACTGTTTCATTTCATTCTGCAAGTGTATTAACACGCTTGCTTTAAGTTTCACTTCCATCTCTGGAGGGTATGTCAGTCTGTTATGGGAAAGTTACTTTCGGTTTGTGCTCGTTCCTTGGAAAAGAAAGACAGATCAGCCATAAATTCATTCTCGTCCTGAAAGACAGATGGCAAGTGTTTGGTGTCTTAATCCGTGTCTTTCACTGGTGCCCTGTGCGGTTAACATTAAACAGATTTGTCCTAAAGCTCATTAAATGATGTTGGACTGATATAAACAAGCAGTGCAGAATGTGTGACAGGTGCAATTTGTCATGTGCTGCAGGTATTTGTTGGACAAGAGATGGTTTGATCAGTGGAAAGAGTATGTGCACACCGGGGATCAAAATTCCTCCTCTTATCCCGGAAAGATTGATAACACCGAGCTCTTTGAAGGTAAGTTTTGCTATTCTGAGATCAAACCATGAAATATAAATATATCTTTAAATGATTCATCTGTGCACATCATTATTTAAAATAAGTAAATATTTGCCCTGAATTGGAGTTACCTGTCAATCACATGATATCGACCAATATCATATAACAACCATTAAAATTATCCTGATGTACGAAATCAAGTCGCGTCCTACTTTATTTTCACAATATCTCACAATATGGAAAACAAAAAAGAATATCGCAACTTCCGTTTCATGTTGATTTTTAGAGCAAGATACCATAGTTGCCCCATAAAAATGTTTAATGTCTCATTCTGTTTAAATCTGTTCCCTTAAAGGAGAACTCTGGTCAGTTTTAACATTGAGCTCATTTTTTTGTACATTTGGAGTGCTGTCAGTACAGACAAAAATCGGTGTTGCCTACACCATGTTATCGTCTTTTTACGATTCGCACCCTGTTGACTTCAATGGGGCATGTTCTAAACCTGCTTTTAGCCTCTTGACATCCTTGATTTGTCATTACGAGTGCACAGCCATGTGAGCGGTGTTATTAAGAGTGATCTCGCTCAATCTGACTGCAGTAGATATGAAAGATATGAATAAAAATAATATTAATTCAGCCAGCGCACATACCTCTATTTGCTTCCTGTTTTCAGTCGAAGCCCACAGTAGTCAATTGTCGATCTCACGCACGTGATCATTAGCGAATATCATCTCAAACCTCCTCCGTGTGTTCAACGTCTGATTCGGATGAACTATCCATTTGAGCTGATGTTCTCAGAGCACCACACAGTGGCTTCTGGAACAAATCGCCTACCCTGCCTTTAATAACTGTGGCTGAAGAAAATGTTTGAAATACTGTGTTTGCTTTTTGTAGATTTGGATTCCTACCACCTGAAAGAGAGGCTGTCGGAGAATGAGGACTTCATCCTGGTCCCGTCAGAAGCCTGGCAAAAACTCTTGTCTTGGTATGACTTGATGGATGATCAGCCTCCTTTGGAACGAAAGGTAGTGTTAAGTTAACCAGACCGTTGACTTTCATTTGTATTGGAGTCAGTCCAATTAGGCAGTGGTTGCCTTGCCATTAACTGAAGATGATGTGAAAGTCTTCATCTTTCTCTTTCCAGGTTGTTGATCTTCCCAGCACTGTTAAAGTAGAGGTCTACCCTGTGGAGGTCTACCTCTGTCTCTCTAGTAACTTGGAAAATACCGTAGCTGGACAGTTCAGTCGAGCAGACAAGATACGTAAGTAACGGCTGTTAATGTATAGACTAGTTTCATAGTAAGCGGCTTTTGGTTTGTAAAATCACTGCAATGAACATCGGGATTAGAGCTATCGTTTTGAATAAGTAATGAATCAAAAATGACAAATAATAATACATTCAGGTTTGATAATAGTACAGTTCACTTCATTCTTTGTATCAAGCTCAATTTGTGACGTTTAGATCTGTGTGAATATGTTTTGTTAGACAAATTCACAGAGTTCACCAAACTTAAAAAAGAAACTTCTTTGCATGTGCTTTTTTTTCTCATGCATCATGCATATGGGTGGCACAGATCTAGTGTTCATCCATTGTTTTACCATTTAAATTTTTTTTTTAAAAATTGTAGTGGCTTGTACTATGATCTTTATTTAAGTTAACTCTTCATGGTTTGATATTTTCTTTGTTGAATGACATCCATACACTACCGTTCAAAAGTTTGAAGTCATGAATAGAATATTCTAAAGAACCACATTTACTTGAAATTAATTTTATTTGTAACATTACAAATGTCTTTACTGTCATTTTTGCTCAATTGAATCCATCTTTGCTGAATAAAGTATTTATTTATACTTAAAAACCTCAAACTTTTGAACATTAGTCTATGTTATTAAGTATAATGCTTATTTTATTATTGCATGCTCATGTTATATGTTATATTATTTCTGCTCATACTAACTCATAGCTATAAACAATGAATTATGCCTGATAAACAGTTTCTAAATGTCTTCTTCAAAGCATCAAAGGTTTAGCTCAAGCTCTGGATTGCCACTTGTTTTACAGAATGCTATTTTTACAGATCTAGTTTATATTTGGCATGCAATTGCGTTTTGTAAACCGATGTGTGAAACCCCTCAGGACTTTGGCAGCTGAGCTGCAGATCTCTGAATGTGTGTAAATCACTATCATGTGTATAAATGTGTATGTGTGTAAATGTCTATCATGTGTTTTATAGACTCTATACATCAAAAGATACGGGAGCATTTTACTGTGTCAGAGACTGCTGAGAGCCGACTGTGGATGAGGAGTACGGATACAAGCTCAGAAAGGCTACGCAACCTTAACATGACTGTCCTAGACGCCTGCCTCAGTTCCGGCATGGTAAAATACACACCTATATTCTCCTTAACTCTGATCATCCATCATATTACTGTAAATGTCACCAAACGGTTATGCAATAAGCACTGCTGGTAACCTCGCCCGGTTGGTTTGGTTTGTCATATAGACAAACTTTTCTTTTAGCACTTAAAAAAGGATGAAGAATGCTTTGTCATGGGCCACCCTGCTTGTGTCTGTGGGTGTGTTGTGTCTTAACATGTTCTACCCACTCCACAGACAGTGATTATGGAGATCAGGAATGTGGATGGTACGTGGCCCACATCTAGGCCTCAGATCATGTGAGTATTAAGGCACAAGCTTCCTTCTCTCATGCATTAGCGCAAGTTCCCTTTCTGTTTTTGTTTAGGTAAATGGAAAGTCACGTGTTTAAAGCACAAAACACACAGTCATCCAAACAGGTTTCATCAGCCGCATTTATTTAAATCTGTAACTAGTAGGTTAGACGCTTCAAAAATGGAAAGGAAAATGGGATCAGTATAGCACCAATAAACTTAAGATCAATTTCGTATTTTGGGATCATATTATCTCCAGAGTGACAACGATCGTCTTACATGCCCCTTATGCCAGAGTCCATGGTTTAAGTTCTCTAGGGCTCTACTTTTCGATTCATTCTTATTAAAATATTTTTAATAAAGTGTGGGCAGATTTAGTGTTAGATTTTTTTTTAATTAAAATAAATCAAAACCTTTTATAATAAGTCTTTTAATTGGTTGGTTCTATAAAGGTTAGATTTTTTTAACTTGTTCAATTTTCCACTTGTTTCTAACCATGAATATAGCCATGGTGCTAAATTATAAACAGACAAACAACTGTAGTAGGTTGCAAAGGAGATTTTCCTCAGTGCAGATCAGTTAAAAAAAAGATATGGGACATGGTTTTAAAGAGGTCATATCATGAGGAATCAATTTTTATATGATTTTTCTGGGGAATTAAGGAGCTTTATTTGGTATTCATCCCCTGTTAAAAAGAAGAATTATTTAAAAAATATTGAAAATAAGCTGCAAAAATCACTTGATTTGCACTGCCTTAACCTTATATTGTAATGCTGTATTTGGTTTCACTTTATTTGGATAGTCCACTTTAGACATTCTGCTTACTATACTTTGCAAGTACATGTCAACTAACTTTTATTCATTTGCAACTACAAATCAACTAAATCTCATTAGAGTGTTGGTAGACTGTTATGGTTAGTAAAATAAGTTGACGTACTTATAGTTAGTTTCACTTCACAATATTTCACGTGAACTATTGAAATAAATTGTTACCCTCTATTTCATGTGACAGTCACATGTTGTGTCTTGAGACAGTCATATATATATATATATATATATATATATATATATATATATATATATACTGTATATACAGTGCCCTCCACAATTATTGGCACCCCTGTTTAAGATGTGGTTGAGGACTTTTAAAAATTCTCCCTTTTTTTTAAACAACATAGAACCCAAATGCAAAAAAAGAGAAAAATCCAACCTTTTATTTAAGTACATTACTTTGGTGGTAAAAAAAAATGTAAAAATTTAGAAAAATAAAAACTTCAAATCCTGTGTCCCACAATTATTGGCACCCCTAACAATTCCGCTGAAAAATGTAATTGATTTTTAAAAAAATATATATTTTCTGTAGTTGCTAATGTTGGTCAGGATATCTAGGAACTTTTAATTAGTAATTCATGACTTCCTATTTCCCTGGGGTATAAATATGACATGACACAGAGGCCTAATTCTCTTACCCATTTGTCAACATGGCAAAGACAAGAGAACACACCATTCAAGTAAGGCAGATGTGTGATGACCTTTATAAGTCAGGCAATGGCTACAAGAAAATAGCCACTCACCTTATATTGCCCATATCTAAAGTTAGAGGAATCATTAAGAAGTTTAAAACAACAGGAACAGTGACAAACAAGGCTGAAAGAGGTCCCAAGTTTATCTTGCCACAACGCACTGTGAGGAGGATGCTAAGAAAAGTAAAACAAAGTCCTAAGCTCACTGTCACAGAATTGCATCAAATAGTGGCATCTTGGGGTCACAAAATCTCCAAAACAACCATCAGACGCTCTCTACATGCCAACAAGATGTTTGGGAGGCATGCTAGGAAAAAGCCTTTTCTCACTAACACTGACAAACGTAAACGTCTGGAGTTTGCCAAGCGGCACTGGGACTTCATCTGGGATCGTGTGCTTT